ATGTTGTAGGTGCTGGTTGTTCCTTGGCAGCCACTGCACCATTTACATATCGATTAATCAAGTGTCAGCTCTTAATTCCCTGCACATGTTTAACTGAGGGGATACTGGCCCCTGATGTAGGAGATACAAAGTCAGTCCTCCAACTCCTAAAAGAACAAACTGGTCCCAAACTTGGGAGGTTTTTTTAACAGCAGGTTTATTTTTGTGTCCAAATCTGGCTTTGTAACTTGCATTTTGTCTCGTGCTTTGGCCTACTTGAACGAAGGAAATAAAGCATCGTGTCCAAAAATGCCTTGATTCTTCAAGAAATGAAGGCTTGCAGATGAGCAATACTTCCTCTGAGCTTGAGTCAGAACTGCCAAATGAGTTTTGGGCTGCAAATAATATTCTGCTGTTGCCTTTATTTTAGAATCCTGTTTTAGCAGTGCATTGCACTTCGGTTTTGTGCATGTCAAGGGTCATGGGTTCTTTTATATCCTCATAAAGGCTTGGACTCATGCTTGGGCAAACCCTCTCAGTTCTATAGGAATACAGGAGCCAAGCAGAGTCAGCCTGCCCAGGACAGGCCGTGGGAGAGAAAACCAAACCCATTTTATCTCATGTCCCATTTTGGGGAGGGTTGGGGCTGCCTGGATGAAATCACCACGTGATTGAGCATGGAGTGATTCTGAAATCCATGGAACTACTCGTACTGACATGAGATTAAAAACTCCTGCTACTTGGTACCCTAATGCTAGACACTAAAATGTTTGTGCCAACCTATTTCAGCTTAAAAACCTGAGCAGAACTCTCTGTGAATGCCTGGGTGGTGCTGGTGAGCAATAGGTTGCCATCAGTCTGTCTCACCCCACCGTTAATGCAACACTAGAAGAACAACCCTGCTTGTTCTGTTGTATGATTTGACAAAACAGAAAAAAGGACAGTCAGTGTCAGAATGGAGTCCTGTCTGCTCTGAGGAAGCAGCCTTTTTTTCCCTGTTTTTAGGAGGATATTTAAGAATCTGATATTAATTAACAGTGCAGTGCCTCATCAGAGAAGGGAAGCAGTGTGAGAACTGTGGATCTCCTTGCACTCCTCAGAAACACACCCAGCTCTCACTCCAGCCCCCTGTTAATGGAGTTAATGAACGGTGAGACAGCTGCTTCCATACAATCTGTGTGAAAAGCCTTTCAGGTTAATGGGAATGTGGCATCCAGGGGGGAAGTGCTGTTCTCCCAAGCTGAGCTGCCTTGCCAAGTGCTCTGGCAGCTGGCTGGGATCCACCTGTGCCTTAGTGATGGCTCTGAAACCATCCTTTAGGACTCACTTAGGACCTGTGGGTTTGGGGGGTGGGGAAATGCACCTCAGTAACACTCCTCAGATCCACTCCAACATCCCTTCTCGAGCCATCTGAATTTAGGGATCTGCCAAATTAGGGGATGCTATTTTTATCAGTTCATTCAGCATAGTTTCAATATCTCCCTCACTGTTTGTCCTTTATATGTTGAAATTTGTTCTTTATATGTTGAAATTTTTCTTGGCTACTTCCCATTGAATCACTCCAGGAGCTGCCACATGAGAAATCAATGCTGTGTAACCATTTGTACTGTAAAGAAAGCAGTGAGCTGCCTTTGAATTAAATGGGATTTTCAGATCTGTCTATTGTTTAGGAAAAAAACAAGTTTTGGATTGTCTTAAGAGCAAGCATCTGCCTTGTGAAAAGCAGAACTGGTTTGTATTGTAACAAGTGCTCTTTCAATAAACTATGAAATACTCTTGTAAGTGTCAGACTTGTCTCAGTGAAATGGAAATCAAACTTGACTGCAGGCTTGTCCTGCTTTTGCTTTTTTATCTTGGGGTTGGGATTGTTTTAGCAGAGTTAAAAAGGTTTCTTTAATTGTTCCTCAGACTGATTCTTGTAGGTTCATCCGCCCTGGTTTTTCAGCTGCTGTGTGGAAAGCAGCCCCCACAGATCTGTGTCTCCTCTCACAGCTTATTTAAAATAAATATAAAAGAAAAAAGAGCTTTTTATAGCACAAGGGGCTACAAGCCTTACTCCTCTTCAGTGCTGTCCCATTGTACCATCCTGTGTGCTGTTTATTTAAATTCTGGAAGGAAACTCGGGGCTGGCTGTTCTCCATTTATTTGCTCACTGAAGGCAAAAGCAATGGACTGTTTTGTGCACCTCGAATGCAGGAGGGAATCACACACAGCAGTACCTTGGCAGGCACCATGTAGATCCAAAGAAATTCAGTTGTTGTACTCAGTGTTCTGCTTTAACAGCTGGTCCAGTCTGCTCTTACAAAGCTTTGCCTACTCCGAGTGTGTGGGGGTGTTTTTTTGTTTTGTTTGTTGGTTGCTTGGGGTCTTTTTTTGATTTTTCTTTTTTTTTTCCCCCTGTTTTCTCAAAATCCGTGATTGTTGTGGCTTTAGATATTTCCATGCCCATGGGGAAAATAACCTTTGCATTCCCTTTTTGCACACTGATGGAGCTGATGAAGCCACCCAGTCTGGAGCTGTACAACAACATGCACTTGGTTCCAGGGAGTCTGGGCAGGGACCTCCAGGGCAGCTTCTGGATGCAGTTTTTCCCTTTTTCCAGCAGTTGAGGCACCTTTAATTGGTACTAACAATGATGTGTGTGTACTCTCACTAATCAGCTCTGGAAAAGCTCCCCTGGAGAGCTGACCAGTCTGTCCTGAGAGCAAACAGTCGATGCACCTTCTGGGTGAACCAGCCCAAAATTCAGCCCTTCAGCTCCTACTCAGTGCCAATCATTTTTAAATACTACCCAGCATCAAGTGCCAGGAGACAACCTCAGTCCTGCTTAGGGAAATGGTACCTATTTCTTTTTTTTTTCATTATGGGAAAACAAACTTCAATTATTTTACTTAGTTTTTTCAAGTAGTGTTTTAGTGTGGAGTCAATGAACAGTGTCTGCTTATGTTAAGCATTTATTTATCTAGGTATTTAAATGTACAGAAGATACACTTACTTGGCTCACAAGTCTGAAAATAGAGAAGACCAGAAGCAGGTCTTTGTGAGTGAATTTAATGTGCCTGGGTTTTTCATGTGGAATGTTCACAGTGGAATGCTCCTGATTTTTTGACCATTCCCTCTGCAGCTTTTCAGTTTCCCCAAAAGAATCTGAAAAGGTTCTGTTAAAACCCTACTTGAAGAGCTTTTCATTTCTACAATGTAGCTGCTCAAAATGACATTATCAACTTCAGATTACAGGAAACAAAATTCTTTTGCCTTTCCTTGCAAGTGAGAGAAGTTTGTTCATGTCATTTCACATCTGACTTGTTTTGACTGGATTTCAGAAGTAATAGTATTTTCTGCATGGAATGGGAGGGAGGGAAAGATCACAGAAAGTGCCTTTATGTTAAAGAATTTTCAAGATTATGCTGGGTATTTCAGAAGGGTAGATAAGTCTGAAACTCCTCATCAAGTCTAGAATAGTTTTCTAGTGAATCACTAGGAATTTCAGAAGAAATATCAAAAGAAAGGTGTTTGTTTTGTTTGCAGTTTTTATGCTGCTGGGCTGAGGTTACTTCCAGTGTGAGTAAGTAGCCAACTTAGGGAAGGGAACAGACATGAATAAAGAAAGAACATTTTTGCCAAAATCAAGAGGAAATTAGAAAATTAAACTGCAGCCCTCAAAGGCTGATATATCTTTTGAGTTCACTTTTCTGTCCCTAAAGGTTATGGGTATTGAACTCATGGTGTTGAAAATCCTGCCCTTTCAAAGGGCACAGCCACCATCCCTTAACTCTGTCTCCAAAAAATATTACCTGTAAACCTAAAGGAATGTCCTTGAGGTTTCTCTCCTTTCCAAATACAGTCTAAAGGCCTTTCTGCCTGACCCTGAGTTAAATTTGCTGCAGTCCCCTCGTGACTGTGTTAAATACTGAACTTGCTGTACAAAACCCAGTGATGCAGCTGTCTAGGTGAGATGCTTAAACAGAATGGGAGGAAAATGTAAAGCTTTTCTTCTGTAGCTCTCAGACTTAAGAATGTGTTACTGCAAACTGGGTGTTGGAGAGGAATTTTAGGATTTGGAGCTGTGGAAGAGAGAAGGTTGGAATACAACATGAGTGGCTTCAAGAATTCTCCTCAAGGACTCTGTAACACTCTTAGTGAATTGTTGTTGCAACTCTTGTGTAAAAATCTTGAGAAACCAGTTTAGTTTGCCTAATGTATGCCAAAGGTTTATCTTAAAAAAACAAAATACAGTAGTGAGATAGGTTTTGAGACCAGGAGCACGGTGACTGTGTCTGTTCTGATTTGTGTTTGTTTTACCAGCAAATAATTAAAGGCTCATTAGATTATAGTAGCACTTATTTCAAGGCATGATAAAGCTGAACAGGAAGAAAATGCTCTTGTACCAGAAGATGTTGCTGAAGTGTTCCTTGTGGGGAAGCCACTGCACAGACTTCTCTGCCAGGGCAGGGGTGGTATTTTATCTTCTGGTATATTAAATACACATGTGAGAGAGTGGTACTTACATGCCAAGGGGAAAATCTAATTGAAAACAAAATGTCTCCCCCCCCAAAATCTGAAATTAATTTTTTTTGTGTAAAAAGGCAAATCAGTGGTGCTGTTAATCCTTCTGCTTGAGAAAATGAAGGTGAATAATCCTCCCCTTTTAAATTTACGTCTGTACTTCTCTCTGTTTCTGCCTCTTTCCTACTTTCCTGAAAGCAGCAAGCAGCTTCCCGAAAAAAATCACCCTTTTCCAGCCTTTAGCGAAAAGAAAACCCTAAACATTTTCTTCTTCCAGACACAGTGAGCCTGTAAATCTTAGAAAGCAGCACTTGTGTCTGAATTGCCTTGGCTCAGTCTTCTCTCTTTCCAGGGGGGTGGCACTACAGCAGTGCATGTCCTGACCTGGGAGCAGCAGGGGAAGGCTCTCTGTGGGTTTTCCTCGTGTCTGTCTGTCCCTCTGAGCTGTTGGGCTCTCTCAGCTCCCTCCTGGCTTTTGTCTCTCCTCCTACACGGACTCTCCTCTCTCCCCACAGGACTATGAGAGTAAACTGCAGGCCCTGCAGAAGCAGGTGGAGACTCGGTCCTTGGCTGCTGAAACCACAGAGGAGGAGGAGGAGGAAGAAGAAGGTGAGTTTGAAGCTAAAAGTGATTTGGGTAAAGCCAAGCCTAAAGGAACAGTTGCTGTAGCATCTCTTTCAATAGACAGAAAACTTGCTCTGGGAAGCTGCAAAATCACTTTGATTTCTTGATCCATAATCCTCACAGCATAAAGATTTAAAATACCTATTTATGGGATAAGTTCCACGTGAAGAGCAGAAACACATCCCCGAATTCAGTTGATGTGTAAACTGGATTAGTTTAACCTCAGGCTTTGGTTTGGTGGTCTTGAATTTGAAGGAATCTCTCTCTTCTTGGCACTGACAGAGTTCAGATGTCTTAAGCCAAAATAACACTGTTGCCTTTGTTTCCTTGTTTTGATTTTGAAAGGGTTTTTTTCCTCCTTGGTAGGAGTTCTCAGCATTCTGTGACATGTTTGTATAATTCAATTTCTGGACAATAAATAGTTTATTATTCCCATAATACTTGCTTTCATTCCACAGTTTCAGATTTTGGCTTTAATAATGGTAAAATAACTTAAAATAATAGGAGTAGAATTCATTTTGTTTCCTCTGTTCCAAATCTCCTTTACTTGATCATTAAGCTCCACTACTAAGTTTGAATCCAGTTTTTCCTCACTGAATAATGAAAATGCAGGGTTTTGTTTTCTCTTCTTCCAGAAAAGGTGTTGAGAACTTGATGACACAGTCAGCAGGAGCATTAGATGCTGCCTGTGATGGCTTTGAGATGAAGCCACAGTGTTTTATTTCTCTGTTTCTTTGCTCTCCCCAGTGCCCTGGACACGCCACGAGTACGAACTGGCCCAGTGGGCTTTCAGGAAGTGGAAATTCCACCAGTTCACTTCCCTGAGGGACCAGCTCTGGGGAAATGCAGTGTATCTGAAAGAAGCCAATGCAATCAGTGTGGAGTTAAAGAAAAAGGTGGGGACATGCAGAGCAGCTTTTTGAATTTTCTGACTCATCAGTTTTGCTTGTGTAATCCTGCTTCAAATGCTCCACTTGTGCTCTTCAAAGTTATGTCTCTTGCTTATTAATTTAAACTTTAAAAGAGTTTGGAAAATTGTGAGTCTCTGTTTCAGGCTTGTGGCTGAGTGAACATCCCATGCCAGTCTGGCTGATCCATTCTCCTCTCCTTCCTTTCCCTTTTGCTGTTCCTGCCAATACCATAAACACACGTTCATGTCCATCTCCCCTGGGCCCTGTATTTTCCTTTTTGCTTTCACCTTCCTGTGGTCATTCCTCTTTCCAAGAGCAGTGGGTGCTGCAGGATGTGCTGGGTCTGTAGTTTTCAGACCTCTGCTAGCTGTGACAGCAAAGGCAAGATGCATGTCCTCAGCTGAAAATCATATTTTTTGCCATTTTGAGACAAACAAAAAAGTGACATAAAACCCCCCTGAATCTGTTCGGAGAGTTGCAAGTCAAACTGGCCTCATCATGGCTTTGTATTAGGTGTCTGTGCCTGACTTCTCAGGACTGAAGTGATGTTCCTTTTCCATCCAGGTGCAGTTTCAGTTTGTCCTGCTCACAGACACCCTCTACTCCCCTCTGCCTCCGGAGCTTCTGCCCACGGAGCTGGAGAAGACCCGGGACAACCGGCCTTTCCCTCGGACCGTGGTGGCTGTGGAAGTCCAGGATCTGAAGAATGGAGCAACACATTACTGGTCCTTAGAAAAACTCAAGTATGTAAACATTACTGGGCAAAAAAAATTCCTTATGTCAAAGGAACTTGGCTGAAAAATTTCCCCCCTTGCCTTTCCTTCTCCATTGTTCTTATTTTTCCTCTGTATCCTCCCAAATGCCAACTTTCTATGTCTTAAATACCAGCTTTCTAGATCCTTTGAATGGGTGCACTTGTTCTCCAGCATCTAACCTCACCTTCATATTTAATTTCTGTAATTTGAGGTTAGATTTTATGTTTTAAATCTAATAAGGCTCATCACAGCTCTCCTCTCTGCATTAATTCTTTTTTTACAGTCCTTTCACTACAATAATACCCTTGCCACCTGCTTTATAAAACCTGGTAGTTAAGGGCATAATTTGTAATAAAAAGCTCAAATGAAGAAGATTCTGTTTCTCTGAAAGCTACACAAATTCTGATTAATATGAATTATTTCCAACACATGTAAATGACATTTGTCTTTTCCCTGTTCTCAAAATACTGACTGAAGAACTTTTTCCTACTAATAACTTCCAGACAAAGGGTCTTGCAGTGTGAAACACTTGTTCTCTTTAATTAAATAAATAAATAGATAAATGAAAAAAAGTCTACAGTGGAATCCACTCACTTTTGAATCAAAATGCCAACATTTCTGGAGTGGAATGCAAAGAGCTGCCAAAATTACTCAGCAACGTGGTTGGTTGCAAAAAAAAAGGGAAGCAAAAAATCTGCCAGAATTAGATGTAAAAGAAGAATATTTAGACTGGGTTGAAATCCAGGATTTTTGTGAGCTCTGCAGTGACCTTGCCTACAGGTTTTTTCCCAGAATCCATAACACCTCAGAGCATTAGTGCAGCCCCCAAACTGAGGGTGCAGCCTCTGGGTTTGGTTCAGGCGAAGTCAGCGTTGCCTCACTTGGCGTTCCTGCTCGTTCCGCTCCGCCCTCTCCTCGGTTTCTCATTCCTGCTTTCCCGTGTGCAGGCAGAGGCTGGAGCTGATGCGGGAGATGTACGACAGGGCGGGGGAGATGGCCTCCAACAGCCAGGACGAGGGCGAGAGCACCATGACGGGCAGCGACCCCTTCTACGACCGCTTCCACTGGTTCAAGCTGGTCGGGAGGTACGTGCCACACCCTCCCTGCTGCTGCACTGCCCGCTCCTGGGGGAGCCCTGGCTCGGGGTGTGGTCATGGACTGTGTGGCCTCTGTGTCACTCGTGTGTTTTGTCCTGCAGGGATTTCTCAGAGGCTTAAAATACAGTGGAGAGCAGAAAATGCTCTCTGGAGTGTTGCCAGTTCTGGTGTGAACTGGTGGATTCTGATTGGAGTGAACCCGTAGTAAGTTACAAGTTTATTTAAAAGAATGTAGCCAGCTAAATTCTATCCAAAGTCGCTGGAGCAGAGCTGTGAGAGTGTGAAGAACACTGGAAAAGTGGCCCAGGGTCTTACTTACATATGTGGTTGTAATAGTTTGGTCATTCCCTAGGGAAGTATCTGATGGGATTCTTTAATATGTCCTGATGTTGGCTGCACCTTTGCAACATTTTGATTTGCAGAAATGCTGTGTTGGCAATAAGAGTCGTAGCTCTTTTAAATGGATGTGCTCTCAAGATCTTTCTGTTGACATTCCTTTTCCATTTGCTTCCTGCTCCGTTCAAGGACACTCTTTCCCCCGACTTTGTTGGCGAATCCCTCCCCTCGCGTTCCGTGGCGGTGCAGGTGGTTTGAAGCCTTTGCTTGTTGTTCAGGTGGTCTCTGTGCTGATGGCAACAAACAGCTGTTAAATGAACATTCTTCTTTCCCCTGGCCCCGCTCGGTGTCCGTTGGCTGGTTCCAGCTCCCCCATATTCCATGGCTGCGTGAACGAGCGCCTTGCCGACCGCACGCCCTCCCCCACTTTCTCCACGGCCGACTCTGACATCACTGAACTGGCTGATGAGCAGCAGGATGAGATGGAGGACTTTGATGATGAGGCCTTTGTGGATGACACTGGCTCCGACGTGGGAACTGAGGAGGGATCAGACCTCTTCAATGATGGGCGCGACCCGTTTTACGACCGATCCCCCTGGTTCATTTTAGTGGGAAGGTTGGTGAGGTTCCTCTGAGAATGGCCAAAAGGGACCAGCTCTTGCTGCAGACTGCAATGGCTTTGCCTTGTGCTACACAGAATATCTGTCAGTCTAACCAAAATATCCATGAATTGGAATGGCCAGAGAATGAGTGTAGTCCAACATGATGTTTTAAGTTCCCATGTCATGTCATTAAGTTCCCATGTCATAAGTTTTAAATTCCCATATAGACCTAAATAATAATTGAGAAAATAGCCCTTAGATGCAACAATGTGAGTAAATCTATTTCTAGAGAACTGTTGCAATGTAGGGTGACTGGGTTTGCTTCTGTGCAGGATTTAAACATCATTCAGAGAGTTCTCTACTCAGCCATCACAGGATCACTGGGATAGAATTGTAGGATGGCATTTTCTCCTGTAGAAGAGAACCCAAGTATGGTGGAAAGTCTTTAAGTCCAGTCCAATAAACTCATTTTTTTTTGAAAGCCCATTTAACATCCTCTGCGTATGAAGAGAAAAGGTGGCATGAGGAGAAAGAAGAATGGTCCTTTTTGGATGAGGAAAAGGGTATTCTCTGAGATGATTTGGCTTCTCAGATTATATTTGACTCTCTGTGGACAGTATTACCTAGTGAAAGGTCATCATCACTGCAATTTGCTGACTGGGAGTGTTTATCAGCACTTTCCCAAGGCACTGTGCTTGAATTTCTGAAGCAGGTTTGCTTCATGTATTAACCAGTTTGCCAGTCTAAAAACAATGAGGGCATTATCAGACCTCAGTCTGTTTTGTAGACCCTCAGGACAGCAAGCTGCATTAAAAAAATGTAGCACTTTGCCCTGTTTCTTCATTAATAGTATTGCTAAAACATGTTTCTCATGACAAGAAACAGAAATATTTTTATTTAGTGGCTTGGCTCCCCTCTCTGCTACTTCCCACTCCCCCAGTGATGCTTTTGTGCTTCCCTGCTTCCCCTGTGAGCCAAAGTCCTGGTTAAAGCAGGGAGAGGGGGGTGTTTGCCACAGGTGTGGTACAAAAAAAAGGCTCCATGGCCAGTGGAAGGGAGGAACAAAGGAGGAGGGACCAGAGCTTGGCTTTGTCCTTCTCTGTGCCTGTGAGCAGGAAAGACTCCACAGGCAGAAAGGTGCAGTTGCCTCAAGTGCAGGAAACTTGGCTGCATTATTTGTGAAAAGGAGGGATTGAGTTTGCTGGTCTTGATCAAGCTTTTAGATCAGTGTAGCTGTGTTGTCAAACCTCAGAGTTCATCTGGAGCGGGGCTTGGAACCTCCTCGATCTAGTTTTTGAAACAAAAATTGCTAAAGTTGCCAGAAGTTGCATTAGTTCTGTGTGACCTCTGAATTTGTGCCCTTACGTGCAGTGCCTGATAATGTGGTTTATAAGATGTAATTCTTTCGGGTTAATCTGATTCAGGTTGGGAGTCAGTTTGGGAAAAGCCATGTGAGCTGTTTGGGGGTGGCTGTCAGCTCATTAAAGCCCAGGGCTGCTCCCTGCCCCTGCCTTGGCATCCACAGCCTGTGCTCCTGGAGCTCCTTCAGAGCTTGGGAAAGAGTTGGGCTATTCATCCTCATCTCACAAACTCCTCAGGAAGCACAACACAAGCTGAGCAAATACAGTGTAAAATGAGAACAGTTGTGCTTCCTGGCAGTGGCACAAGTTGCTTCCCATTCCCTGTTTTACAGGGAATTCTGAGCTCTGTCTCCATGGACAGAGACACAGAGCTGCAGCAGTTCTGGGTGGGAACTGCCCAGGCTGAGCTGGGAGTTGTACTGAAGAATGGAGCTGAGTTTGGATTGTCTGGGTAGAGAGCTGAGGGACTTTTTCCCAATTATTGGTTTCTATTTCTGTTCTGTTCTTCTATTGTGCCCATTCTGTCAGCAGAAAGCTGATTTTAGACTGTCCAGCACCACTGAATAGGAACTATTTTGAGTCCTCAGTGTCTTCCATCGTGAGACTTCTACTTTTGAGCAGTGACTTGCAAGGACCAGGGATATGTCCATCCACACAGATCTTGTCCTAGCACAAGGTTCAGTTTATAACAAACCCCAAATTCCAGCTGTGTACTGGGCCATATGCTATAGAATGTGTAGGACAAGTAAATGATTTTTAATATTTTTGGGGGTTTCATCAGCAATGACAAGTGCAGGTCATGAAGGAGAGGAGAAATGGATCCTGTAGTTACTCAACTCCTTGGCCATCACAGTTATTTTTTTTTTCCTCTCTCTGTGCTATGACTGTCTTTTATTTGTAACTTTTAAAGAAAAGGAAAAAAAGAGCTGGTCCCTTTAGCCATCTCTTCTGGCATGCTGGGCTGTCTTTAAGGCTGATTCTGTTTATGGTGTGACATATCAAGCATTTGCTCTGTTTTTAAGGGAGGTGGGAGAGGACTACGGGGTATTTCATTTAAATCTTGAAGTGTTTATTTTAAAAATATCCACCATCATTCTGAGTTCTGTTGGTTTTGTTTTAGTTCTTTTAAAAAAATCATGTTTGTTAAGTTTAATTTCTAGTTCTGTTGTGAGTATGCCATTCTACCTCACCAATCTTTCTGCTAATCCAGCTCCCCTCTTTCAGTCTGCTGGGCTAAGGTGCAGGGGGACACTTAGGGGATGTTTGGGGAGTGGGAATCCTCCTGGATGAGGGAAGAGGAGGAGGAGAACCTTAAGATTTCGTGCCCTCCTGACCTGGCACTGCCTCGTGCTGCAGCAGATGGAATGGCACTGGGAGCAGTGTTGCTGCAGGAACCAGCTCTGGTTTGGTCCAGCCTGTGTGCAGTTGCTCTCCCTCCCACGGAAGAGATCCAGCCTTTTCACCAACAAACAGGAAGCTTAAAACTTCTTGCATTATGTGCTTTTCTTTGTCCAAGTCAAAATGACTCTGGTGAACCGAGTGACTGGATGGAGGGAAGTTAAGGAAGAGGAGAAATAGCTTTTTGTTTTTCCTTGGGATGGTCACGTTGTAGTTGTTACTCCAGCTGAGTGCTTTGGCTGTCACGTGTTGAGCAGCGGCTTCAGAACTTTTGCCATGCAAATAAACAGGTATTTTTGTTTTTCATGCAGGGAATACTTTCACTTTCCATTAGTTTTGGTCTGAGGTGGGAAGGTTTCTGTGGTGCCTGACTCTTGGAGTTAGTGAGACTCCCTTTCACTGGGCACATCAGTGCAAGGCTCTTCGGATTCCTTCCTGTTGGGAAATGTCTGTTCTTCCTGGCTTGAAATGTGATTTTCAAACAGGGTGTGTTTTTTGTGTTCAGCAGTTAACCACACCCCTTCCTGAACTCCATCCCTGAGCCAGTCCAAGTCAGCAATTCCACCTGTTACAGTTGGAGTCATCTGCTTTCTCAGATGAGCATCACCTGAAATTTCAAAGCTGGAAATGAAAATGATATCTTAGAGGAAAAAAAAAAAAAATTAAACTTCTCATTTTGCTACTTTAAATTTAGTCTCTTCTCCCTTCCCCTGCTTTACCAGTGCTTACCTCACTTTGGAGCAGACTGAAAAGGAATTAAATCCTAATCTTAGTGAAGTGTTACGTTGCAGTTGTTTTTTCTGTTGTTGTTGTATGGTTTCCTTAATTTTTTTTGTTTTGCTACTTTTGTAGCCTTATTAATCATTCTCTTCTCTATTGCATTTTGTCATCACTTTGGTTTTTAGTAGCATTATTTCTGTGTCTTCGGTTCACAACTGACACCTCTTTGACCACCTTGTCATTCCAAGAGAATTAATTCATCCCAAGGAGCAGCACTTCCCTTTGGTCATGCAGGACTTGTCCTGGGAATGTTAAACCATAACAGTTACAAATTAGAGGAATTAATTATATGCAATACTAAAGACTGATAAAAAGAACTGCAAGAAGGGAATTAGTTGAACAGATTACTGTTGCTTAGTATAATTTAACGTGCATAAGTTGATTAAAATTACATAATTGGTCACTTTAAATTTCATGACTAGTAAAAGTATTGGTTAAACTTTTATGCATCTCAGTACTTTTCTGAACTCTGAAACAGGTTGCTTAATAAGTAAATAAAGGCTTTCATCTCCCCTTGTTGAGAGCTGTTATTTACCTGCCTTGTTGGGCTTCTCAACACTTACTGTTTTGCTCAGACTAATCCCACTGAAGTGTGATACTTCAAAAACTTCTGCAACTCATTGCAGGAACATAAAATAACTTAGTTAAAGAAGTTAGTCTGACTTTTAATTAAAATCTATACAATTAAACTGATTAACTTATTGTTCCAAAATAGACCCTGCTTGTATATAACTTTAAAAGTTAGTGACTGGCAGGATCATCCACTTGTGGGCCTAAATGCTGCTTTTCCTTTTGTAGACTAGAATTCCTGAGTGGTTGCTCCAGAGTACTGCTGTGGTGTTTTGGTCTTTGTTTTATTTTGTTTTTTAAAGAAATAAATATAATGCTCCCAAAGAGGTTTAGCTCTGAAGACTGAGAGTCTTCCACTGTGTGCACACTCAGTGACTTCAAAGAAACCTGAGTGATGACTTATGGTTTGTTGGGGGGATTCTGCATACAGGGAATATAGAAGAGAGAAAACATTGTCAGTCTGGTTTTAAAAGAGGGGTTTTATATGTTCAGTAAAAATTTGAGGCTGTTTGAGTAGATCAATTCCCTTTTAATTTATCACTTCAAACTACCTCAGTGGAAAATTCTTTATAATACAATATACAGTGTATATATATATATATATAATAGAACATATAATACATGTTCATACATATCTGTACATATAATATATAATACAATATACAATGCATATATAATACAATACATAATACATATTCATACATATATGTATGTATAATATGTAATACAATATACAGTGCATATGTAATACAATACATAATATATATTCATACATATATGTACATATAATATATAATACAACATGCAATTCTTTATAATCAGTAGTTCTCTAATAGATTCTGCCATCTTGTTAACAGCTCCATTCACAACTGTGGTGCATCTCCAATTACCTTCCATACAGCCATCATCTAGAATTGTGTCCTCCATATGTTTGTAGCTCATTAATGTGAGCCCTGTGTCTTCAGTGAGCATTTTGAGCTCAATTTAGAGCATTTTGTGGCTGCCCTTGGCCCTGTGTGGGCAGGATGGACCCAGGACCTCCTGCAGGTCTGAGAGATGGAGTGGAGTGTCTGGAGATTTGAGTGGCCCAGTAGCCAACTGAACTCTGAGCCTGGTTTTGTGCATCATTGCCTAATGCTGGTTGTGTTTTCCTTCCTCCCTTCCCAGAGCATTTGTGTACCTGAGCAACCTGCTGTACCCGGTGCCCCTGATCCACAGAGTGGCTGTTGTGAGTGAGAAGGGAGAGGTCCGAGGGTTCCTACGTGTGGCAGTTCAGGCCATTGCAGGTGAGACACTCTGAGAGCTCCCCAGGGCAGCTCCTGGCTCTGGGAACTGCTGCAGCTTCAAAAACCAGCCAAACAAATCAGACCTTCTGTACTCCAACTGGATTTTCGTGTTGCAGAGAACTCTCGCTCTCTGTTGTGAACTCACTTTTGAATCAATGTCATTTGTTATGTCATCATATGGACCAAGCTCAAATAAATGTTGAAATAATGCTGCTGATCAGATTGTGAAGGGATGGGGTTGGTCACTGGAGTTTGTACCTGGCAACTACTGCAACACTGTTTTCTAGGACAGTGAAAGAGCTAACCAGGTTCAGTGAGTCTGAAAACTAAAAATAAACCGAAGATTCTTCTTTCCTGCACCCCATGTAAATAGTGGACAAGGGCACTGCAAGTTTGATAGTTGTGGTGACTGGCAGCAAAGCTAAATGTACCAAATTTTTGCTGTGCTCCAACTGTTCTCTTAAATAACTCTCTGAAATGTGCTTCCCCAGTGTCTGACAAGAGCAGGTGAAGAAGTTGCTGAAATGACAGTTTTCAGCACGGTATAAACAGAAACCAGCAGCAGTTTTCCCCTTCATTACCTCTCTAAAAGTGTTGAGACTTAGGAGCTGCTTTAACACACTGCTTAATTCCCAGCTTCCCAGAGGAGAAGGTGGATATCTGGGATGGTAAGTGCCCTTGGATGTGTGCTGGAGATGAGCTGCAGCTCACTAGGGAGTTGCTGATATTTTACACTTGTTCAGGGGGAGGTGGGCTTAGCTGGTGGTCAGCCATGCCTTACCCATGCTGGGCAGAGCACACATCCTTCCCAGAATTTGTCCTTTCCAGCAGTGGCCAACTGCCAGCAATTCTTTCTTGTTTAGGAAGGGTAACCCTGGAAGCTTCACTCTCCATGGGAACCTATAATGAAATCTCACACTGAAGATGTATAAGAATCACTCTGGCAGGGATTAAAGCAAGTGACTTAAAATCTGTTTTATTGTGCACAAAAGACTCGTTTCTAGTTTGGTTTGGTCTCCTTAGAATTGACTGAACATTTCCAAATAAATACTTTATTTATCCATCCAAATAAATAGAATACACCATGGCTAATAGAAATCAAACTGGGGACATCTCTTGAAAAAGGACCATGGCATTATTTGGTCCCTAAGCAAAGCTTTGGAACACATTCAGAATCTTGGGATTTCTCCTGCAAACATGCCTTTAGTGTGGAAGAAATCCCTGGCATTTAACCAGGCCCTGTTGTTGTTGCTCTCCATGAAGAGGAGGAGGTTAAATGGGCAGACTGTGTGCACAGAGCTGCCTTTCAGACTTCCAGCATGTGCTGGGGGAGCTTTGCTGGTGTCACTGCTGAGCTCAGGGCTGCAGGAGTTGAGTGGCAGTTCAAATCGGGGTTAGTTTACCTCAGTATCATAACCAGGAGTAAATAAATGATCAAAATGAGTACTAAAGTTGGTTTGCATTTAAAATTCTCTGAAGTATATTCATAATGAAACTTCATACCTTGTCTTGTGGTTTGCCCATGCTGGAGTTGATGATGGGTAGATAGATTTCTGACATGAGTTTTTCCATCACTGACTCCAACCTGTCATTTTTTTGCTCCCTGGACTGGTTTCCATTGTAATGAGAATTCCCATTTCAGTGACTCTGAGGTGTTTTCCCTCTGCTCCCCATCACTTAAAATTTATCTTTTTTTCCTCTATTTTTTTAGCTGATGAAGAAGCCCCAGATTATGGATCTGGTATCCGACAGTCTGGCACAGCTAAAATTTCCTTTGACAATGAGTACTTTGATAAGGTAAGAAGTCTTAGAATTGAGTTGGTTTCTTTGAGTGTAGTAGCTTGTGCTTCTAAATAAAGAATCTGTGTTGTAGGGGAAGAAGGAGAAACTGCAGGAGTTTGTTACAAGCCAATTCATTTAATTTTTCAGAGCGATTTTTCTTCAGTTGCAATGACTCGGTCTGGGCTGTCACTGGAAGAATTAAGAATTGTGGAAGGGCAAGGACAGAATTCAGAGGTTACCACTCCTCCAGAGGAGATCAACAGAATGAATGAGCTGGGTAAGCAAGAAATATGTGGTAGTTTTGGAGAAGTTAAGGGAGATCTGGGACACTTTGAGTCAGTGACAGAAAGGGGGTCCAAGTGTCCTTTGTAAATATGATAGTTGGGGAGAGGTGAAACCTGTGGGTTGCATGTGAGAGATTCTGGAGTTACTCATTTGAAGAACTGTGCTGAAAAACACAGCACAGGTGTTTGGATCTTTTGATTATCAGTAACTTATTAGGGTTCAAAATTAAAAAAAATGCGATGGGACTAAACTGTTTCTGAAGGAATAATTTAAGAAAAGAGAGGAGGAGGGAAAAAAAAAGAAAAAAAAGTGATTTCCTGTGGGTTGTTTGTGTGTCCCTAAGACTTGAAGTCGGCCACTTTGGATGGGAAGATGACTCTGGAAGGATTCACTGAGGAGATTGGGGACCACCTGAAGCTGGGCAGTGTGTTCACCTTCCGGGTGACAGTGCTCCAGGCCAGTGGCATCCTGCCTGAATATGCAGACATTTTCTGCCAGTTCAAGTAAGAATTTGTCCTTATTTACATCAGGCAATTAGTGGTTTGACAGAGCAATGAACAGTGGGCAGCAGAGGGTCTGATGGAGAGCTTTTCACAGCAGAGGAAAACACCTTGTGAGTTACTGGCATCCCTGCTCCCTGCTTTGTGTTAGCAGGTGTTAAGGAATAAAGTTGTGCAGAAAGGAATTAGGAATCAAAGTGGACTCTTAAATTAGTAGTTTAGAGATATCTTAAGATTTTAAGCTTAATTCAGTATTAGATGGTACCTAAGCTCAGCTGGAATGAAAACTGCATGAGCCTTGAGTAAATCAGTAGCTCAGCAGTGCAAGTGTTCTTTGGCTTCTGTTCTTAAGAAAGAGAATAAAAAATGGGAATAATAAAAACATTAAACAAGTACAGGAACTGTGGTTCTACAAGACTAGGGTATTCCTGGCTTTAGGCCATCACTCAGCTCCCTGTAAAGTTCCAGCAAAATAAATTTATTGTAGGATTTTAAGGTTTCCTTTCAGTGTTGGGTTCGGAGCACAGCAATCTTCATTAAACCATTCTGTGGTTGTTGACTTTTGTTTGATTTTCTTTTTTTTTTTGTTTTCCAAAAGCTTTCTGCACCGGCACGATGAAGCTTTCTCAACAGAACCCCTCAAAAACAACGGCCGAGGGACTCCCCTGGGCTTCTACCACGTTCAGAATGTGAGTAAAGCTTGGCAGGAGGGGTGACTGTGCAGTTGTGTGTCTCTCCTTCAAGGCAAGGGGAGTTATTTAGAGCAGGCAGTAAGAGGAGTGATCAGGTGGATGATATAATCCCCGATGGAAAACAAAATACAGAATGATTCCGTGTGGCAGATTTAACTCTTCGTTTTCACCTCTGCTTCCTGCCATTGAAATCTTTGCTTCCTTTCCAGGATGTACAATGAGAACAGTCTGGAGCTCAGGAAATAAACCATATGTGTGAATAGCAGTGCCCATGATCTCAGATGAACTGAATATACCTATTTTTATGAACTGTGTAATCCTTTGGTTACGTGCAGCCTCCTCTTCTCTCATTTGAAATGCCTTATGCTGGGGCTTTCATTCTCTCCTTCATCAGAGAGTAGAATTAATGCCTAAATCAAAAAGGAATGCAGGTGCTTTTATTGTGAGGGACACTAAGTGCTATGAGCAATACTTCCTTTTTGAATGGCTCCTTTTCTTCCCTCCTTTGCCTCCCAGATCGCTGTGGAAGTGACGGAATCCTTCGTGGAGTACATCAAAACAAAGCCCATTGTCTTTGAGGTCTTTGGGCATTACCAGCAGCATCCCCTCCACCTGCAAGGACAGGACCTCAACAGGTAGTGGTCACTGCTCTGGCACAAAGGCAGTTTGGGATCATGCTCAGGTTAGCTCTGCAGTTTTCCATGCTCCTGAAATTATACAGCCACACCCTCACAAGCAGAATTCCTGAGGGAGGTAAGAGTGAGTGAGAGAGACCCAGTGTGGTAATGGGTGGAATTGTTCTACCATCTCAAACACTGTTCTGCCAATCCATCTGCATCCACCACCATTCCTGGTGGTGGAATATTGTACTGGGAGCCTCAGCTGTGATCTGTGAGCTCTGGGAAAACCTTCACAGTGCTCCAAGGGCATTGTTCCCTCAGGGCAAGTGGCCTCGTGCATAAGGGTAAGATGACAAAAGGAGGGATGAGACTGGGGGAAAACAAAAGGTTGTCAGCCCTTTGACATGTTACTGCCAAAGTTGCCAAGCATTTGAATTTTTGGAGGTAGGGAAAGGACCCCTGTTCATCCTTGTCTTCAGAGCTTAAGGGGGGAGCCTGTTGAAGAGGCTGATTTTTAGAGGAAATGCCAGCCAAGGCTTGTTCCTTTTCCTAAAGTTATTTTGGGAAATGCTTGTTACCTCTTGAACTTTTCAGTGCAGAATGGGGGTAGAGCTGTTGGAAGTTGTAATTTTTTTATTTATTATTTTTACTGACATCTAGGATTGGTGAAGTTAAAACAGAAAAAGGACATAGGTTAGTGGGCTGAGTCCACTTCTTTTCCTGGCACTTGGTATTTACCTGTCTTCAGAGAATTGTGAGGATCTTTTTAGAGACAAAAATGAGTGTATATATACAAAAATGCAGGTGTGTACGTTTAAATAAAACATATTTTTCATGTTAACTGCCTCTGTACTGATAACTCTTTTCATTTCTCTGTAGCCCTCCACAGCCTTCCCGAAGATTCTTTCCTCCCCCCATGCCACTGTCAAAGCCAGGTGAGAACAGCTCTCTGACTGTCCATCACAGGTCTACTTCCTCCTGAAAGTGGAGGTTGTAGTGTATTCCTGAGGTATCCAGGACACTGAGAAATGTAAGGGAGTGAGTGTTGGGAAGGGCACTGAGTCTGCCTTTGATGGTTCTCTCTCCCTTTTTATGCGTTTTGTTTTTATTTCTCTGCAACCTCCTCTGCAGGAAGTGCTGCTGGGTTTGTTAAAGGGTAGAATTCCATTGCTGAGGTGTTGACCATATTCCATGAGATCTGGCTGTGGCTCTCCCTGTGCTTACTGAGCACCTGACTGCAAATTTGCTTGTTCATTAACCACGTCATCTTTTGCTCTCTCCCACTGTCACGTAGCGAGTCAGTGTTGTTGAAATGATCCTTGTTTCCTTTGCCTAACTGCATTAATGCATGCTGAACTCTGAACTCTGTTGCAATTTTTTTCCCCCATTTCACCTTTTAATTTCCTCCTTCTTTGTGTTTCTCTCACCTGCATATTTCTACCATCCTTTTTTTTTTTTTATGTGTGTGTGTGTGTTCCATTCCCTCTGCAGACCATGAGAGGAAAATTGAGTTGATTAGGTATCTAATGTCTGGCTATGTGAACGTGCATGTGCTGAACACGCTCTCCGAGCATGCCAACGTTCTGGCCTCCTCTGCTGTGGCTGCTTTCCAGGATGGAGCTGACCAGCTGCCACCTTTTCTCTTTCTGCCTGTTCCCAGTTGTCAGAGTGAGCGGGCTCCTAAACGAGATGGTTAGTAGCCAACCTTGATCTCTGGTAGATGTAGAAGTAGTTCCAAAACGTACTTCAAAATTCCTTTTTTTTTTTTTTTTCCTTTGCCATGTAGTATTCTTAGGACTAGAAGCTGCCATGGTTGTGGTCATGGAAGGATGATGCTGTGCTGAAGTTTAGGGCTATTTTAGAGAGAACCATGTAGACATTTTAGACAGAACCATATAGACAGCCTATAGGCTCCAGTGTGCTGGGAGTCACAGATTTTTCTGTGGCACTGCATCTATTCCCTGAAAATTCCTGGACCTCTGATTTTTACTGTGTTTTGCATATAGTTTTGTCATCCTGGGATGAGAGAGGCAAATGAAAACACAACCAGCTGGAGTGGAAACAGTCTGCTGTGTTCTATACAGCTTTCCTTCTTGCTCATCTTCCTTTTCTGCCACTAACACTGCTATTCCTCACTTCCATTGTGTTCTGTTTTATTAAAATCAAAAAATGGCATGCTGGCTATTAATTGTGCCAGAGCAAGTCTGTGAGAATGTCTAGAACCAGCTTTCATGTTTGGTTAAACGTGTCTTTCTGTTGTTTTTCCTCTTCTGGTGCTTTTGAGTTTCTCTGCTTAGCAGTAAACTGGGGTGACCTGGGTGTTGAATGTTTCTCCTGCTGCCAGCAGGGCTGAGTTCAGTTGTGATGAGTTCCTGAAACGATGGGTACAACAGGGTTACTACCCTGAGTAATGTATGAGAAGAGTAAATGCTGAGCCTCACTCTTGCTGCCTCACAGGATGGAGCTGTGCTGTGAATAACTGATACCTGTAAAATCTGTCCCTCTGAGGGAGCTGCTGTTTCACCCAGAAAATACACAGAATTTAAGAGACCCCACAGGCACACCTGGAAGGACCTTTTCTTAACTGGGGACTGTTATGCCCTTCCAGTGCTTGGGAAATTTAATCCTGGTGGATGTTGAAGGATACACAGAGGTGTGAAGGTGGGAGAACCTAAAGAACACCTGAGCAAGGGAAGAATGGGGCTTGAGAGGCCAGAAGGTGGAATGATTACTTGGCTTAATAAAAACAGCAAGGTTACCATGTGAAAGGAGAAAAAATGGAAAATCAATTGCAGGGTTACAAAAATCCCTGTCAGACTGCACAGGAACTGAGCTTTTTAAAATGTTCCCATTTCCAAATATGTAATGAGTGAACAGATAAGAGGAGTCAAGCAATGATAACTAAAAGGTGTGATGTGAGTGTGTGAGAGGGGAGTATCAGGTTATTTCCAGAATTTCAGTTATCCCATTACTTTTTTTAACATGGTTTATCCCTATGTTTGTATGAAAGGAATTAGAGAGGATCTGACCAGTAATAATCACTAATACCAAGAGATAAGGAGCTCAGAAACATACTTTGGCAGGATTAAGGCTCTGGAATAAGTCTTGTTCAGCCCTTTTACATATACAATATCTTATCCAAGTGGTGCAGGAGTCTGGCAGTTTGTGGCATCAAGAAGTGAAGACTGAAGTTTTAAATTCTATATTTTTCCTCTTACATGGGGAAGGGGAAATACACTTTTTGAGTGAGTAATGCTGCAGATGAACAGACCCAAGCAATTCTAAACCACAAACTGTGATGCACATTTGAGGAATCTTCTTTTCTGTGGATCTAGAGAGGCTGTGCATTTTTCCAAGCCCTTTGGATACACTTTTGTTTCATTATTTAACCTTTTTTGTTTTATTCTAGTAACCTAGATTTAAAAAAAAAAACACTTTGAGAAATAACAATTGCTGCAAGCCCAATCATTTTCATGGAGAAATCTCTGCTCTGCATATGTACATAGAATATGTAGGATCACTGAAATGGCACATTCCCATCAACCCTGAGCAAGATTTACTTGTTCAGTCTTTGTAAACTATTGTTTTTCCTTCTTTCTCTTTTTTCTGCCTTGAAGTGCCAGCTACAAAGCTGAACACCATGAGCAAACCCAGCTTGGGCCAGAGTGTGAGCAAATACGACCTCCTGGTATGGTTTGAGATCAGTGAACTGGAGCCAACAGGGGAGTAAGTCCTGTGTTAATATTTTATGTTTCAAAAGCAGTGATTTATGGGAGTTTGAGGTTTTTTTTCCCCTTTGTTCTGTTCAGACCAGGTTTATTTTTAGCAGTTGTCTTTGGGTGGGGTCCTGGCTGGTTGATGGTGATGGGATGTAACTACTGCTGGCATTAGTTGTCCCCATTGGAAAGGAGGAAAGACACAGAAAAACATCCTTTCATCCCCTTGGAAAGGACTTAAGAGAGAGAATGACATTCCTTCACACTTGAAGTGATCCTTCCACTGAGAACTCCATGCACACCAACTGAACAGGCACTGGGAAAACTTACCTTGTGTGGGCCATGAGTTTCAATCCTTTGGGTCACCAGAGACTTTATGCTCCAGAAGTCATCCAGCAGGTCCTGTTTTGTGTTCATCTCTGATACAAAGAAGGTTTTCCCCGGTAGGTCTTTAGGCTCTTTATTCCACAGAGTTTTCCAGAAGTACTGGAAGTGCAATGTACAATATTTCTGTATTTCACTGATCCTGTAGTGCCGTGAGGAGCCCTGAGGAGTCTGAGAGTAGGAGCCATAAGTAGTCTGAGAGTAGGTAGAAAGAAACACTCTTTGTCTTCAGATATCCTATGGAGAGGTAACTGCTGGCAGCAGAAGTTGCTGTGCTGGTCCATCTTTCCTCCTGTTGATTCCACTGTCTCCCACAGGTACATCCCTGCCATTGTGGATCACACCGGGGGCCTGCCCTGTCAGGGGACCTTCCTGCTCCACCAGGTACTGAGGAAAGCTGTGGAACAGCAAGTTGCATCTCTGCAGGGGGGGACAGAATGCTGCTGAGTGGGTTTGGCATCTTTCCTGCCCTCCTTTCCCAGCCAGCTGTGCCGTGAGAGCCGCAGGGTCAGGCAGCCCTCAGTCTGTGCTCAGTCTGGTGGCTTGTTTGGGCCCCAGGATATTGCTGTTCCTTTTGCTTATCAGTGTGAGTCCCACTCAGGAAAGATGAAAGCCTTTTAGAAAGCAGGAACCTTTGGGACCAGGTTTGTGCCCTCAGTGTTCTCCTGCATCTCTGCCAAGGGCACAGAAGGGTCACATGGACTCAGCTTCCATTCACTCTGTGTCACTGTGACTCTGCTCTACAAAATGACCATGTCTCAGTGCATTTTAAATACCTCTTGTAATCCTTCATAACAGTTTGTCTTTAGCTAGATTCTAAAGATAATCCTAGTTAAATATGGTCTCTAGGTTTAAAGTTATGCTTTTTCTTTAAAGTTGTGCTTTTTCCACTCTCAAATGCTCAGTTCCTTTTCATGGAGTTTACCTGTGACTTCCATTGCCTCTTTTCCTTAAAATAATAGGAACAGTTCTAATAGCTTAGGAATAATGGTCATATTCCAATAATTCCCTTGGAAGAAAAAAGTTACTTAGTCCTGGATTTACCAGTGTCCTCATCACTATTTTTGAGAGCACAACAACAATTTCAGGGCTATTTTAGGTTAAAAAACCTCTGCCTTTGTGGAGTGAGGAGGGGGAATTAATTAATTTCTGTTCCATGTGAGAATATAACATTCCTTTGAGATTAATTTTAGGGCCCTGAAACACAGAGGTGCTTGTTCAGTTACAGACTAGTTTAAATGATCTTATTTGCTTTAGTTTTGCAAAACAAATGTATGTGAATGCTTCACCAATGTTTTGGTTTTGAACTCTCCCAGGGAATCCAGCGGAGAATCACAGTCACCATTATCCATGAGAAGGGCAGTGAGTTGCACTGGAAAGATGTGAGGGAGCTGGTTGTTGGTGAGTAAATTCTTGTCTGTAAGGAAGAAAAACTATTAGTGGCAATTTCTCTTTGTATCAGATTCTGTCATTTTTATGAGCGTTGCCTGTGAGAGGAGGATTTCGAAAAAGATCCTGAGGAAAAACTCCAGTTTTGCAGCTTCCTCTTGTTAATCACATAGTCTGAAATGGTGTTTGGGAAAACAAATTCCTTTTGTGTTGCAGGTTGAGTTTTAATTGATTCCTCCTCCTCCCCATTTCAGGACGTATAAGAAATAAAGCAGAGGTAGACGAGGCTGCTGTGGATGCCATTCTGTCTTTGAATATTATCTCTGCAAAATACCTGAAGTCCTCTCACAGCTCCAACAGGTAAGTGAATAAAGTGAGCACTTTAGCAGGAATCTGAAATTTATTTGACCTCTGAGGTGTTGGCAGGGTGTTTGGGAAGTTGGGAATGTGGCTAATTATTAAATGTAGAATTCCATGGGCACAGGGCAGGCAGATGGAGAATGAACATCACCATAACTTCTTGCTACTGCTGAAATCTGTTGATCTACCTGAAGGATTTGTTGATTACTTTCTCAATGACTTTCCATGTGTAAGGACACAAAGGGAGGATGGAAAGGAACAGCTTAAGGGAGTCTCAGGATTTAACCCAGAACTTTTAAACTGACATAATGATTTGATGCTAGAATACAGCATTGAAGTACAAGGACAATTTTGGGAGCTATATTTATAGATGTGGACCTACCTATATCTTCCCTGGAACAAGCATGTGACAACTGAAGCAAGAGCCACGCTTTGTAAATTCATATTTTGTGGATTTCTACGGATGTATCACGAACTGACTCCTGTCCCCTGTCCCTGCAGTCTCTGGGCAGCAGCAGGGCCCTGGCTCAGGGGTTTCTGGCTCTGTGTGTCCCTCATTAGGGTGCATTTGCTGTAAAGCTCAGACTCCACATTGTTCTGCTTCAGTGTCTGCAACAAAGGGCAGCGAGGCAGAGTGTGGGATTGGGCACAGCCTCTCCCTTCTGACATCAGCCCAGTCACTTGACCACTCCCTGGCTCTGCTCAGCTGTGCAAAGCAGGAATAGCTCTGGAATGGAGCTCTGAATGAGTGTTTCCAGAGGGGAGGGGGGTTTGGGGGCCCATCTCTGCTGCAGCTGCTGGATGCTGGATCCTCCAAGGCACTGAAATGGCTTCTTCCTTCTCCATTAGAGGCCTGGACTTTGATGGACCACTGCAGCATTAAAGGTGGATTTGGGGTACTGCTCCTGCCCATGGAATATCTCTGCCACCTGGTGTCTGTCAAGGCAGGCAGGGACAGGGGCTTCAGCAGTTCCTCTGTCTCCCACTGTGAAGTGGAGATTTTAGTGTATCTGAATTAATGGATCAGAACACTGGGAGACTGTTGCTGGTTTCCAGTCTGATACTATTGGCTTTGCAGTTGGAAAGCCCTGTGCTTTCTGTTCTCTAGCAATTCAATAAATTCTTGTACAGCTCCATAGTTCCCTATAAGGTGGGTCACTTGGGTGAAGGATGAGTGTGAGTTGACCATCTCTTCCCAAAATGCCAAGGTTTAAGTTGTGGGATGGCAGTGGTGGAGTGGGATTGAGGCCCTGATGAGGGATATGTCTTCTGTTTGCTCATTGTCTGCAGACTGTTTTCTGCTTCCTGTGGGGGTTTTTTTGCTTTGTTTTGTTTTTTAAGTCCACATGTTCTGTTCCTCTCAGCTGTTGCTTTTCTGTTCTGCTTTTGGCTGCACTAACTGAAGCTCTTTCTATGTTTTTACAGGCTCTTTCTTGATAAGGATATGCCTAGGTATTTTCTGTTTGCTTCCTTTGTGCATAAAGATTCTTGAAAATAGAATGCTTTATGTCCTGGTTGTATTGCTGCTACCTCCCTCTTAGCTTTTATGGAATTCCATTAGCACACCTCTTAGCTCTTCCAGAACTGGTATTCCTCCTCCTCCTCCTTTGTGTCAGGGGTTATTCAGGTACAGTTCACTGGGAGGCTTGTGAAGGGGAACTTTCCTTCACATGCAAGAGAACTTCCTTCCATCAGTCTTCCTGATTCTCTAAATGTGCCATCAAATATAGCCCCTATTTGTAGTCCTTGCTATTTTCTTCCTTTGTTCTGTATCAAAGAACTAAATTTGGAACTTCTCACTGTCTCAAACTCTGTAATGTGTTTGAAGTACCAAGCCAAGGACTGAATGATGAGGTTACTTGAAATTCCAGCTCTGAATTGCACTGAACAAAAAGCAGGGGCTGCCATGTGAGGGCCATTCAGCCTCTGTTCTGGGGCTGGATTTGCATCTGAAATTTAACCATGTGGCTGCTGCTCCTTAATTTACCAGCTGGCAGAGGAGCTGCTCAGACTGGATTCCTGTTTCCCCTTCCAGGTGGGATCACAGGCACGGGATTCCAGGCACGATGGCAGTGCAGGCTGGGGCAGTTTGCACTCTGCTTTCTGTGCTCTGCCTCTTCATCTTCAATGCTCTCAATTCACCACCTTTCACTAATACTAAAATCCACTTAAAAGTCAGTTCTAACTACACATTTAACCTGTTTCTCCTGTTTTCTGTGCTTTGCTTGTTCTGTGCTCCCTCTTGCTCCTTGTGCTGTTGGTTCTGCTGAAAGGAGTTTGCTCACGTCTGGTCTTTGTCTCCCTGTGTAACTGTTGGAGCACATTCTGGTTTGGACAGGCAAGGCTGTGGATAAGGAACTTCCTGGCTGGACAAAACCCACTACAAAAACTGTCTCAAAGCTGTACTTGGCTTCAGCTTGGTGTTTGTCCAAAGCCCCTGGTTTTGCAGAAGGTGGTGGTGGGAGTTCTGCACTGATGAACACTTACCCCTGTGTTCTCTCCCCAGGATGAGAAATCACTTTTGGCAAATGGTGCAGAGCTGGTGCAGGGGCTCCATACACTGGTTTTCCCATGTGTGGAGAACCAGGTTTTACTACTTTCTTTCCCACCCTCACAGTAGATCTGGAACTTGCTTAAAGTTTAAAAAATTGCTGTCTTTAAAAAATTGCTGTCTTAACTAAGCCACGATGAAAGCTTAAAACATAAGGATTCAACACAGATGTGTAAAGGGTTAGAGGACAGCCTGTGCTGTTTGCCTAATCTAACTCAAGTGAGGATTGTTACTTTACAGTGCTTTTAAAGTTACCAATTACTTGGCCTTTAGGATATGTTGCTCTGTACCATTTTTAACAGAAACTAGATGTTTAGAAGTAATTTCCTAAGTATGCTGCTTCAAATGCAAACAGTATTTAGCAGTGTTCTCACTTGACTGCACAGTTGATGGTGTCTCTAGCTTGGAATTGTCTAATTGGTATCAGGAAAAGGGGATTCTCGGGAGCTCTGTTTGAGGTCAGAACTCTCTGTTTCTGATGTCTGCTCTGAGGTTGTTTCATGTTTCTTTTTGGTTTGCTTTGTGTTTTGTTATTTCTTCTACCCCCCACCCTGCTTTTTGTCCTTTGTCTTTAGTTGCATTTTCTATTTTTCTGAGTTGGCCTTGGGCATTAGCACAGAAGCTTCTTAGAGACACAACTTTTCTTGCTTTTAGTACCACATTGTTTGGACTCGATGGGATGAAAAACCTCAAAAACAAGGGGATTTGGGAGGGAAATACTATAGAGGTGATGGAGAATTAATACCTTCTGTTTGTGTTGCCAGTGTGGAAAGGTATGCTGAACTCCTGGATAAGGGTATAGCTCTTCTTTCCAAAGGGACCTGCCTGAAATCAGTCTCTGCCTGTGAGAAAGGAGAAAGCTCATTTCCCTAAGCCCCTGCTAGAGAGGGGAGTGTAATGATCCTCTAGATCTGATGATTTAGCTGTGCTGTGTCTGATGCTCTCTCACTTCTTACTTGAGCAGAAGAACTTTCCTGATTGCTGGGGTAGAGCCCTGGGAGCCTTCAGCTCCTTTCTCTCCATGTACCAAACCGAGGAAACTTCTGTAAGAAGTTTGTGTTAGAGCTGCAAGTTTTTCCTTGAAGCCATTAGAGCACAGAAAAGAAATATTTATCACTTGAATATAGGACTGAACCCATCTATCAGTCACCCTGATTTGCTGTCAGAACCTGCTGGTTTTGTAAGACTAAGTATTAGAAGGATCTCTTCTGTTGCTATATGTTAGCCCTAAAATATGGTATAGGAAGACAGTTGGTTATAAAAAAGGATCTTCCCATGCAATTTGAAGGCCCAGCTGGGCTGAATTGCACCTGAAGCAATAGAGGTGAATTCTGTCTGTTTAGAAACACAGTTCTCTAGTGCTGACTTCCCTGTAGTGCTGTGACAGCTTTAGTTCTCTTCTGCATTGCCTCTTTTCTCTTTCAGATGAGTCTTTTTCATAACAGGCAAAATACTATTTCAGGTAGAAGTAAATAATCTTGGAAAAGAAGAGAAGGTTTTTGCTTCAGGTGTTTGTTCTCTAAGTCACTGAGAGTCATAGTGGATGGTGTCAGGGAAGAGGTGCTTTACACTGAGCAATGAGAGGGGTGCAGAGGAACTTTTACAATTGAGCTTTTACTTTTTTCCAGGACTTTCTACCGGTTCGAAGCAGTTTGGGATAGTTCCTTGCATAACTCCCTCCTCCTCAACCGAGTGACACCATATGGAGAGAAGATCTATATGACCCTCTCTGCTTACCTGGAGGTGAGACCCCTGGGCCTGCCTTTGGCTTGTGGCTCGGTAGAACCATTTGAGACAGGACTCAGTGTGTACCTGAGATGAACACTGCCTGGGCTGAGTGATTTCAGTCCTGAGTCCAGTCAAAGGGTTTATTCATTTTCTGAGAACAGGGTGGAAAAATTTATTCCCAGTTAACATCTTAATGTCCAGGTATTCCTGCCTGGCAGCACACGTGAAGTGAAACTGGTGATCTCTGTGCCTCCTTTTGTCCATCTTTGTATCTGAAAATCCACTGAGATCAGTGAAAGTTGCTGTGGAAGTACTCCTGGTGTTACAAACACTGCCTTGTGTGCAAGATGCTGTTGTTTTGTGTAGTGCAATTATTTCACCCACGAGACACTTCGAGGAATTCGACAGTTTTCTTCACCAGAAACCCAACCGAGAACAACTTCCCAAAGCTGTGCCACTCCCAGGGCAGCAGTGTAGCTTGGCACAGTTGTCTGCAACCCCTCACTAAGCTTTTCCTCTTAGCTGGACCACTGCATCCAGCCTGCAGTCATCACCAAGGACGTGTGCATGGTGTTCTACTCCAGGGACGCCAAGATCTCCCCACCGCGCTCGCTGCGCAACCTCTTCGGCAGCGGCTACTCCAAGTCCCCAGACTCGTGAGTTCAGTTCCCAGTTTTGGTACCAAGAGTTCATGTCAATATGTGCTTTTTCTCTTGGAGGGCATGGGGAGGATGTAGCTTATTTTTCTTTCTTTCTTCCTTGAAACTGTACCTGATTGTGGGTTCTCCAGCCTGGTTTTGAACGTTCTTTCTTGCGTTTGTTTCAGTGAAACTCTGATGGTTTCTCTCTTTACTGACCTCTTTTCCAGGCTGACAGTTGGGAAGAGAGTTCCATTTTTCAAGCTTGTACATAGATGGTCCTGATCCTGACCTGGAATTTGCTGCAGCACCTGCTCTCCAAGTCCAGTGCAGGGTGGGAGGGGAACATGGGGGAAATACCATTTTTGGAGATCTTGAAGTCTGTCCTGGCTGTTTTATGCAACATTATAATTCAGATCTAGTTCTAACTAACAACTATTCTTAAACTTCTACTTTGGGGCCCACTGAACTACAGCTGATGCACTTTATTTCTGAAGATAACAGTGTGTTTTTGTTTCCTTCTGCTTTCCTGTGAACAGCAACCGAGTCACGGGGATCTATGAACTAAGTTTATGCAAAATGGCAGACACAGGCAGTCCAGGTAAGCAGTCACTGGGTGTTCAAGTGATAAATATGAAATATTGCAGAAAATTTCCTGGGCAGAACAGAGTAAACACTTCTGTCCTGATGAGAGGCAGTTCCTGTGTTTCACAGGAGAAAGGGGACATTGCTACTCCATAAAAAAAATCTTACTCAGGCTTTTACTTTAGGCTCAGGTCTGTGTTTACCATCACTTTACACTGAGGATTCACTGAGAACTTGACATCTCTGACATGGGTGTCTCAGGAAACTGGGCATGTACCAGGGTCTGAGACTTAGGGCCATGATACACTGCCATCACTGACAGTGGAGATGGGTTTGACAGCAAGAAAGTTTTCTCTTGGCCTTTTGAAGGTGATGGAAGGAATGTAGCTCATGTAGTATCAGTGTATTCTTCTTCTAAGACGTGGCAATCGAAGTCTTTGTGTTGAAATAAACAGACCAGCAGTTTGCATTGTATCCTGGTCAATAGAAAATATCTGAATGAAGTAAGAAAGCTGCACCAAATCTGATATCTTTGGAATGTGTAATTGCAGTGAATGAAATCCTTGCCTTGTGTATTCCCAGCCAAACAGCAGAGTTGTTGGCTCTTCACAGATTGCTGATTGTTTCTTAGTGGCATCCCTCTGGTTGTGGTTTTAACATGTCTCATGTTGGTTTTTGCTGCTCAGGAATGCAGAGGAGGAGGAGGAAAGTCCTGGATACATCTGTGGCATATGTGAGGGGAGAAGAGAATCTTGCTGGTTGGAGGCCCAGGGGTGACAGCCTCATCCTGGAGCATCAGTGGGAACTGGAGAAACTGGAACTGCTGCATGAGGTGAGTAAAGAGATCAAAGTCAAGATTTAAATGAATTCTCCCAACAGAGAAGATACAAAGTGTGGGCTGGCTGCTGAGTGGGACCTTCAGCTCAGAATCTCAGTGTATTCAACAAAGGCAGATTCAATTTCCAGTGCCATTGTAAACTCCCTTCCCTTGGGAGAATGTTCACTGGTCTGAATATAAAAGAATGCCTGAGAACTGAGTGTCTGTGAAACAGGCCCCGTCCTGGAGCAGACCATACCCATTTCTCCTCTCACCAGGTGGAGAAAACCCGGCACTTCCTTCTGCTCCGTGAAAAGCTCGGTGACAGCATCCCCAAGTCCCTGAGTGACTCGCTGTCCCCCAGCCTGAGCAGTGGCACCCTCAGCACCTCCACCAGCATCTCCTCCCAGATCTCCACCACGACCTTCGAGAGCGCCGTGACGCCCAGCGAGAGCAGCGGCTACGACTCGGCCGACATCGAGAGCCTGGTGGACAGGGAGAAGGAGCTGGCCACCAAGGTGGGGCAGGGCAGGGGAGTCTTGGGGGAGAACTGGGGTACCAAGGGTGGTTAAAGATCAATGATGAGCTTCTCAGATAGCACAGTGAATGCCCAGCACTGTGAGGGTTTCACTGGAGTGTGTTCTCCGGTGAAATCATCCACTCACACCACAAAACCGCAATAGCTTTGTGCCGTGGCTGTTCACTCACCTCATCCCCCTTCATTAATAGTTCTATAAGTAAAGCTTCCTAATTTTATCAAGGGAAGTGATTATTCCCCTCTTCTTCTTTCTAATTTTATCAAGGGAAGAGATTATTCCTCTCTTCTTCTGGGATTTTTCACAGCAGTTTAGGATTTGTTTATTGTTTCACAAGCTGCCCAAGCGTGTCTTGGCAAACTGCCTCTTGTATTCAGATTTCCCTGAAAATCTAAATGTAAAATTCTCTTTCTGTCTCTCATTTGTTTTTCCCCCTCTTTAGTGTCTGCAGCTCCTGACTCACACTTTCAATCGGGAATTCAACCAGGTGTACAACAGCATCAGTGATTGTAAGGTAAATATGTCATGTAGGACAATACACTGTATTTGTAGTACAATAGCAACACATTATGGGTCGTGGAATCTGCTGATACTATGAAAAGATAAACCACTTTATATTCATTTCATTAATTTTTATTTTCAGTCTGTTGGAAGTATTTGGCTATTCAGCATCAGGTTGCAAAGAGTATTACAGGAATTGGAGATGGTGTGGACTTGGACTGTAGGACATCTTCCAGTTGATCAGCAGACTGGAAGTGCTCTTACAGTGCTCCCTCCATACACTTTCCCAATGTAAAAGGATAAATTGACTCTTAAAAATTCTGCCTGTAGGCCCAGGGAACCCCAAGTTGCAAACTGCATAGTGTGATGTTCCGTTGAGGAAGTCAGGCTGTGAATACTCAGAGGTGCAGGACATGATAACAAGCTCTGTCTGCAGAAGTTGTATTTTATTTATTTATTTATAGTTGTGTGCAAAAATTTGACAACTGAGTAGGGCAATGGCTGATGGAAATACCTTTGTGTTGTCTGAGCTGAGTGTTCAGCCAGGGCTGAGCCCCAGCTGCAAACCCAGCTCTGTTTGACCCTTTGTCCCTGTGTTTGTCCCCGGAGCTGTCGGATATTTCTCCCATCGGGCGGGACCCGTCCGTGTCCAGTTTCAGCAGTGCAACCCTCACCCCTTCATCTACCTGCCCTTCTCTGGTGGATTCCAGATGCAACTCGATTGATCAGAAGTAAGTGTGGTGCATTAGTAGGAAAACATCACTTTTCAGTGCTTCACAAATCTCTTTGCTGTGTTTCCTGATATTTTTTCTCCTCTTTTCTTCCTTCTCCCTACTTTGAAATATTTCTCTCTACAGCCCCCTTGCCTTACTCCTCCAGTCCCTCTGCACAGTTATTTTTCCCCATTCTGAAGTGGTTTTTTTCCCTTTGTGCTGGAGGAACACTCAGATGCTTGTCATTCCAGTGACCAGTGCATCTGCAGTGAGCAGAATCCACAAGTTGTTTCAGAGGTCTGTTACGAAGATCTACTAATAACAACCCAAACAAACCAGTTTGGCCACTACTCTCTGTTTATCTTTCTCAGCTGTATCTGTAGCAGATATTTTTGATTGAATTTGGAACAACTACTTAGTGAAAGACGTTTAATTTGTACCTTCTCAGTTTAACATCCCTGAGGGGAGGAGTGCTGATGAAACACTTTTTACATCAAAGATGTGTACCTGTGTTGTGACTGTGTTAGCAGGAGGAACATGGGAAAAGTAGTGGGGAAACAGCTTACTTGCAGTTATTATAAATTTTATTCCACAGATATCAAGGAAAAATGCTATTTGATGTTGTGCAAAAGGATCCCAATGTCTTTCCAAAATTCTGGGCTGGAGGATGAAACTCCTAAGACAGGCTGGGCTGTAAATGCACTTTAAAATTCCATTGTCACATTCAGTTGCTTTGTTGGGATTGACTTTTTCCTTCTCCACTTTTTTTGTAAAGGACACCAGAAGCAAATTCTCGTGCCTCCAGTCCCTGTCATGAGGTGGAACAGTTCCAGATAATTCCTGCAGTAGAAACTTCCTATCTTGCCAGAGCTGGAAAGAATGAGTTCCTAAACCTCGTTCCTGATATTGAGGAAATCAGACCAGGGTAAGTTTTTTATTGTTGTGGCTTCCCCAGAGCTGTCACAGGGGCTTTTTGAGGTTTGTAGGTTCTATATCCCGTTTGAGGAGGGAAAATTAACAGGTGATAGCAGAGCTGCAGAGCCCTGTGTGGTGGAGGCAGGGCTGGGGAAGGTTGTGTTGATGTTTGATCTCTGCAGCTTTCGTTCTCAGCATCTTCTTAAAGAACAGGATTTCCAGTGGCTTAAATATGATGTTTGTTAGCATCAAACTGTGGCTGAAGTTCACTTAGAGATCTGTAGGGTCCTTCTTTCTGTCAGACTTCTGCATAGTTATTGAAGACACAGTTCAGCTTGTAACAGCAGAACTTTTCTGAACACTGTTGCAGACAAAGCGTGTTAAAGACCAAGTGTCTTACACAGTGTTTTGCAGTTAACAGGGATACTCAGTAGGTGCCTAATTTAGGGAAAAATCTCCTCCTGTTAATATGTGGGGATTTTTTTTCCAGCTCTGTGGTCTCCAAGAAAGGATACCTCCACTTCAAGGAGCCTCTCTCCACCTCCTGGGCCAAGCACTTCGTGGTGGTTCGCCGTCCCTATGTTTTTATTTACAACAGTGACAAAGACCCTGTAGAAAGAGGAATCATCAACTTATCCACAGCCCAGGTGGAATACAGTGAGGATCAGCAGGCAATGGTAAAGGTCAGTCTGAGAGCTGTTTTTTGTTTACCCATAAAGCAGGAACGTTACAGGCAGTGGTGGATCCATAACATCAGGTGTGTCATCTCTGGTCCAAGCAAAATGCATCTGGGAGGATGTCTGGGATCTGATGATTCTGCCCACAGAGTTCCCAGTTTGTTCAGGGTTTCTTGTGTTTTGGACACAGCCAGAGACTGAACCTGACTGCTCTTACACATCAGATCAGCTTTTAGGGGATGTGTTGGTACCATCACCCCGTATTTGGTTTTTGCATCTTCCTTTGTGTGGTGTTCTGCCATTGTGTGTTTTGTTTATTTAAAGAAAAACCCCACAAAACAACACGCACAAACATCCTGCAAGGTACCAAATGAACTTTACTGCTCCATCAAAGTCCACACTCATGAGTTAAAACATTGTTTTGTAGAAGTCAATGGCTAATAATATTCTGGACATGAGCAGTGAAACTTAAAAGAAAGCCCTTAGGCCTTGTAGGGTTTAGGAACGAGGCAGAGAGAGGAATTGTGCATCAGCTTCTGTGCTTTTAGACTTCAGTATTTAAATTGTTTTCCATCTTCCAGACACCCAACACCTTTGGAGTGTGCACAAAGCACCGTGGGGTCCTGCTGCAGGCCATCAACGACAAGGACATGAACGACTGGTTATATGCCTTCAATCCTCTCCTGGCTGGCACAATTCGGTGAGAGGCACCTGGGGCAGGCAGGGAGAGGAGCAGGAGGGCAGGGAGAGGAGCAGGAGGGCAGGGAGAGGAGCAGGAGGGCAGGGAGAGGAGCAGGAGGGCAGGGAGAGGAGCAGGAGGGCAGGGAGAGGCTCAGACCAGGAGCAGAGGGTTGGTCATGGAGTTTAATCTTGTTCTGAAGAATCTGATGAGTTGGGGGAGCTGAAGAAGGGAAGAAGGGAGGCAACCCCCCTGCCCCAAACAATCAGGAAACCAAGCACCCTGTGTTTCAGGAGCTACAGGGGCTGCTGCTTCTTTGGCTTGTGATGTTTTAACAGCCACACTTTGAACTTGGGTGGAATGCTGCACTTGGAGGCCACCATTGTCATTTTACAGATTTATAAAGCCTCTGCCTGCCTCTCTGCCTTTTTAGGTTCTTGATGATGAGCTAAAGCAGAAATTCTCATTTCCTTCCCTTTTCTGAGCTTCTCTAGCAGGCTTCCCATTAACACAGGTCCCAGGCAGCCCCTGCTTGCTGCAGAGATCTTACTACATTGCAGTAACCCTTCTTTCAGTAAAAAAAGAAAAAAAATTAAAAACTAAGCTGTCACAGCATCAAATAATTTCTGAACAGTGTAGCCCTTAGAAGATTCTGCCTCCCTTTAAAGGAGCACAACAGAGGAGTGAGAATTTTTTCTCATCACAGCCCTGGGTATGGTTCACTTTCTTGCCATGGGGAGCAAACCAGGACTGTACAAAAAGATTTAAAAAAAAAAAAAAAGTTGGGCAAACTGTGGGGAGGAGGGTGGAAAAATAAACTTCCAGAATTCACCAACTGCTTTTTCCCTTCTTCCCTGTGCAGGTCAAAACTGGCTCGAAGGCGCACGGGCCAGATGAAGTACTGAGTCCATGTAATGTTCTCATCTGTCCCCTGCCTCACCTCCTGGTAGATGGTGTTACCTCTCATTTTCTCTTTGTGATTCTTGACAGTTTCTCTTGTATGTAATCCTGTGGCTTAACATCCCCCACCTGCCCCACTCCTTCAGCACATTTTCTAGGTATTCTAACCCTACCTTGTTTCTTTTCACCTGTACCAGAACTGTACTAGTAGCATGTGGCCAAACAAAAAGAGAAAGAAAAAAAAAAATCAAAAAAAAAAAGGAGTGATTATGCACGACTCAAAAAAAGAAAAAAAAATTATTTATTTTTTGTTATAACAATTGTTTTTCCCATTTCAACTGACCTTTTGGTGTCTGTCCCACTGTCTGTTGTTGTCTGTCTGGACTGCTGCAGAGTTTTCATTCAATTTGGGACTTGGCAGTGGTCATTGGTTCCCTCAGGGCAAAGTTCCAATGCCAGGGAAAGATAAATTCTTCAATGTAGACATTACCCAGCCAGGAACTGCAATAGCTCCTCAGGCTTTCTGGATCCAGCCTCTAATTTCAACTCTGTTGAGAGCTGATATTGGACAAATCTATCTGGGCAGACTGGAGTTTGGACTTTTTGAGTTTCCAGGGTCCAACAGGCAAAGGGGATGAGCTGGAAAAAGACAGGGAACAAACCAGGAAGGACTGGCCAGGAAAATCTGCCTTGAAGCTCCTGCTGTGGGGTTGCAGGTGAACAGTGCTTGGCTTTAACTCTCACCCAAAGGAGTTGCCACCAACACTCCCCTGCCTCTGAGCTGATGTGAGGAGGAATAGATCCCGTGGCTGAAATAGTACATAAAATCCCCAAAATGTCAGATGCTCAGCCTGGTATTTGGCAGATGGAGAGTGTTAAATGGGAAGGGAACTGTGGTTGTTCCCTGGAGCAGGAGATCACCATGGAGGGCAGGTCTCCTCTTGCTGCTCCTGGTCCTGACTCTGGAGTTCTGCAGGAACAGTTCTCACCTCTCTGGGAAGAGGTTTAGGGCTGTCACTGGTGTGTCAGGGTTGGCTGCTCTGGGGCATTGTTCCAGAAGGCCTGTTTGTGCATCCCTGAGTGATGCTCAGGTGTCACCCCACCTGTCCATGGGGAGCATCCTCGGCCTAGGAAACACTTCCCAGGCAGCCCCAGCACTTGCAGTTTTCTCCAGGGAGCAGCAGGACACTTTCAGTTCCTTTTGCAATAACTGTCACACGTCTCCTAATTTCCTTGCTGCAGTTTTCATCAGCTGAACCCCACTAGTTAATTTGAGCTTCAGAGTTAGTCCTTCCTGGAGGACAGATGAAGTGGATCCTGGTCCTGGTCAGTGGAGTGTCAGAACTGGCTTCTTGGACATCAGCTGGGTGGTGTCAGTTCCTGACCTACAGTTTGAAGTTCTCCTTGTGGCCAAAGCTTTGGCCTTTGCCCCAAGAAAGGAAAGCAGAAGGAATTTCCTCTCTCTGCCAGGTTTTCAGGGAGGTTGGGGGGTGTGTGTTCTACTGTGTTTCAGACTGCTGTGTTCTACTTCCCTGGGCACTGGTAGGGCTCTGATCCTGGGGAATGGGCAGGAATGTCATTGGGAGGTTCCAGCCCCTCAAGGGAGAGGTAAAAGGGGGTTGTTCCACTATTCCAGCAGGCACATCTTGGCACACTCCAGCTCCAGAGGGTCATTTGGATTCAGGTCATGCCTCAGCCGGTCATGCCATGCCATGGGAATTCTGTGGGACTGGAATCCACTGAGCAAGGTTTTGGCTTTCTGGGGTTCTCATTGTTCAGTCAAGTGCTCTGCACAGTGAGAGCTCCTAAAGCAGGGGTGGCAAAGGAGCAGGGAGAGGAGTCTGCCTCTTGCTAGGACATATCCTTCTATCCCTCGAGAGAGTTCTCAAGCTAAATCACCCTCTCCTGCTGCCTCTGTGGTGCTCAGATTTGTTTCAGAACTGGAAGCCAGAGCGAGGGAGCATCCTGGGGGCCCAGGAGCACGACAGGGATGGTTTTGTGGTTTGTGTGTTGGTTTTTTTTTTTATTATTTTATTTTTCCCTTCTGTTTTTTGTCTTGTTTAACTGTGTGTGACTCTAAATACAGTGATGATATTCCTTTGTTATGCAATGATGATAAAGCACTTCCAGTGTGTGGATAAGACTCTTTGTCCTGCAGGAGGGCTCCTCACACTGGAGCTAAGCTGATCTCAAGAATTAGGTTAATTCTAAGCATTAAGTTATTGCTGCCATCACCACTGTTTATGATGGAAGTGGAACCAGTTTGAGGAGGCAGAGTGATTTAGGTGGTGGTAGGTTGTGACACACTGAGAGCATTTTAACTTTTATCTTTTTCTTTTTTTAACTAGAAGAAAACTAGTTTGCTAAGTCTTTGCTTTGGATAAGCCAGAGAATGAACTAAGTGGATATAGGCATTGCATGGAATCATGATTAAGGGATCTTCCTTAAAAGCAGGAAGAGACAGATGCTTATTTTATGCAGAGCTGGAAGTGTTACAGCCGTGTTGCATAAATGTCTCTCTTCTGTCTAAAAACCACAAGCAGCTTCTGGTGACTTGATGTCTGTGTGGACAACAGATCATCAGAAGAGCAAAATTCTCTTTTTAAGCATCAGTATCTCTTAAAGCTGCATAATTTGTGACAAAATAGGTCCTGTTGTGTGGAGTTCAAATGGGCATTACTGTTTTCTAGTCTGGCATAAAGGCAAACAAAGTTTTTTTCCAATTACTGAATCCTGCTCTGAGGCATTTGAGTTTCCCTACTTAGAGCTGGATTGAAATCAATCCAAGTTTTCTCTGAAAAGATAACAAAGCAAAAAAAACACAAACCTGAATTTCCATCCACTTCCAGGCTTAGCCCAGCATGTTAGAAATTTCTCTTTGGAAACAGAGCAAGAAGGGGAAAATGTGCTGATTTGCCTTCTCCTGACACTTCTAAGCCCTCTCTTGGTTACCTGCTGTGTGTGTGTGGAGTCCCAGAGTCAAACAGCTCTTGGGACTCGGCCTCTGGAGATGAGGCATCTGCTGTGGGCCTGCCAGCCCAGAGAGCACACACAGAGCGAGCCTGGAGGGCTTTCCTGGGGAGAACCAGAGTGAAACTAGGCTGGGCTTGGGGCTTTGGGTTCTTCTCTAAAAGGAAGGAGAAAATTACCCTTTTTGTCCATTGAAAATGATGTTGAATCTTCCTGAATAGTTTAAAACTAAGCTAAACCTCCTATACTGTATTTTAGAAATGCACTTTAAGTACCTTTTTAAAGAAGATTCCCTCTATTCTGGGATGCAGAAGGGAAGGGAGTCCTCTTTCCACACTGCTGAAAAAGGGTTTTTCTGATCAATGGCTAATAATCCTGATTACTAATTAGCAAGGTATTTCAAAGCAAAGACTTTACTTTTTGCTGCTTGTTATCTAATTTACAGGGATTTAATTTTATGTAATGTATTGTATATTTATACATCTGTAATTAATTGCACATTAGATAAGGAAGAGGATTAGCTTCAGTCTAACACCCACTGGTACCATACAATCAACTAATAACTGCCTGTGCACGTGCATCTGTCTGGTTCTCCTGCACAGCCTGAGTTGGTGGGAGTTTGTGCTGTGGTGGGTGTTTCTGTGGAAGGTGCAGCTGCTGAACCTGCTGCTGGAAGGAGGGAGGATCCTGCTGCTGCTCGGGAAGGGTCTGGGAATGTCCCTTGGGCCGGGTGTGTGTCCCATCTCCACACTGAAGTTCCTCACCCCGGTCGTGGCCTGGCTGTGCTGTCTGTAGCAGGAATGTATTAACTTTGTGCTTCCTTGTTTAAAAAACCATCAGCTGTTCAAGAGCAGGACTGACTTTTCTTTTGTTCAGAAGGCCATTTATGCGTTCTGCGTATTCGAAACCAAAACGAGTCCAACACCAAGGAGGTGGTTGTGTCCAATGTCATTGGGAACAGGTTGTAAATTGCCAGGATCAGCTGTGGATTCGGAAAACTGGGGGGATGGAGCTCCTAAATCTTCAGTTTTAATGCTGCCAAGTGAATGGCCTGACCCTGAACAGTGCTGAACTACCCCGTGCTTTCCTGGGGGCCAGGACTGGAAGCAGAGGGAGTCTCAGGTGATCAGCACTCCCCAGGATCAGGCCTTTAATTTTCCACTCTGCTTGTCCACACTTCATGTGCAGTTGGTTATGGCTCCCGAATTCGGACATCAGACATGCTGTTCACTGAACACATCCCTTGGCATGGCAGTGCCCGTGTCCCTGTCCATCTCTGTACACAAGGTATACAAGGTATATGCTGTATAAGTGGCCTTCTCGAACAAATCTCTTTGCAAACTGATTTCATCCCAGCGAAGGAGTGTATCAGCAACACTGTACATTAATTTCAGGTTTTCATTTTCTTATTTTATTTTGTAAATATATCCGATATTTGGAGCTTGAGTATACAAAATGTAAATATAGTTCATGTATTTGTACTAATTCTGATCCATTTGCTGTATAGCCTTAGGTGTGCAATGCAGATATCTAACTGTGTATGGTAACCTTGCACCACTGAATTGTTAGTGAACGAGGTGAAACAATAAAGGTACAACCAGTGCATTAGCAGGTAAAATGTGTGCTCCTTTCATCATGATTTAATTACTGGTATCTTAGGTTGGTTACTTGTTTTCTAAACCTGTCCTGAACAAGCTGATGCTTTCGTGAGATTTGTCTCAGCTGTTCTTGAGAAAGATGGGAGGCTCTGCCTGTCCTCCCTCATCCTTTCCTCTCTGCTGTGTTACACAGAATCTTGAAGGACTTTTTGGATGCTTTCAAAAGATTTTTTGGCTTGAAGGAGGAATTCAGCTTGTCCCAGATGCCAGTATTGAACTTGCTTATCTGGGGGGACAGTTAAAAATGAGAGGAAGTGTGTGAAATCAAACCACCCCAACACAACAGCAAAGTCATTTGAGGCACCAGCTCTGTGAATAAAGATGTGTCAGGGAATCCCTGTGGATCGTTCCTGTCTTGGTCTGAAGGTGGAATGTTCTTAAAAGTCATGGACAGGACATTCCCAAAGCATTTAAGTGCCACCAGACCAGGTCAAACAGCTCTCAAAACTTTAACTCAGGTACATGATGACAAAACCCCTTTATCAGGCTGCTGCCACATCTATTCTTTGTCTGCAAAGCTCTTCTTTGCTGCTGTTGCTGATGCCTTATTTCTTTCCAGGTAGGCACTTGAGTAACTTCTGACCTTTTTGTGGTGGCTCCTCCTACAGCAAAATAAACACGTCAGAGGAGCTGCTCTCTCTTTCACTGCCTCCTGATCCATTAATGCCCAAAATTAAGGTGAACCAAAAACCTGATGGGTCAGTTTGTTTAGAAAATAATTAATAGAAACCAAACTAAACACGCGGCAGGTGTCCTTGCCTGTCGCGGAGCAAAGGTCCAGCAGGAGCTTCCTCCTCTCACAGTTACTGCAACCTCACTGCTCACAGAGGGGCAGGTTTTTCAAGTTTTCCCTAAATTCCAGGACACCTGAAGACAAATGGGTGGCGGCGATACGCGAGGGGCTGACTGCAGCCTGGGACGATGTTCAACAGCGGAATTTTAAGCCCATTAATAATAATTAAAGGCCAGAAAAGACAAATGCGCAGCTCTCAGGGGTTTGCTGCGGTCCCCGGGTATCGCTGCGGGCAGAGGCACAGCGAAGGCATCGGGCAGCTGCGGGCGCGGCTCTCGGGGCTCCTGCGGCCTCGGGAGCGTCGATGGCCGGGGGACATACGCGACAGCGCGGGACAGTGCGGGGACATCACGGGGGCAGCGCGGGGACATGCGGGACCCGACCCTCCGCTGAGCCCCGCCCGGCCCGGGCGGCGCCGCCCCCGCCGCTGCCCCTTTAAGGGGCGTGGCACCCGCGGCCATCGCCCATGGGCGTGGGGCGGGGCCCGCCGGACGGGCCAATGGGCGCGCTCGGCTCCGCCCCGCCCCGCTCGCGCGCTGAGGGGGGACCCGGCGCGCGCCCGCAGGCCGAGCCCAGGAGAGCCCCGAGAGAGCCGAGAGGGAGTCCTGGAGCCGCCGCCCTCAGCGGCCGGCAAGCCATGGCCGAGTGAGTGCGGCGGAGAGGCGGGGGACAGTGCTGAAACTGCCTCGTTGGCGCTGCGAGGCGAGGGTGCCCCCTGTTCGCTGAGGCAGGCGGGGGTCTCTCCGGCCGCTGCCCGGGGACTTGTGCCCCAGTCGTGGGGCCGGGGCGGCGGGTGCTGCCGTGGGCCCCTCTGTCCTGCGTGGAGGGTGCCGCGGAGGGCCCGGAGGGGAGAGGGAAGGGGCGGACGGGGCCTTGGAGGGGCTGAGAGACCGCGGAGGCGCCGCGCGGTGTCCGGGAGGCTGTTGGCAGGGCCGGGGAGCGGCCGCTGCCCGAGTCGTGGCTGTGGAGCAGGGAAGTTGTGAGCCCGGGCCCCGAGGGGCAGGTTGGGCTCCCCTGCATGGGCCTCCAGCAGAATGTCCCGTTCTCCTCGTTTTCTGTGCTCACCCCAAATCATTTGGCGTTGCGGAAGCAAAAACATGATGCAACGTGCAGGCACGGTGTTGTGGTGCAGCGTCTGTTCTTTGTGGAGCTGTGATAGAGCTGGATCCATCAGTGACGTGTTAGAGCCGCTCGCTTTACTCCCTGCCTGTAGTGCAGTGTTTTGGATTGCTTTTCCTGCTCATCCGACTGCGTCTTGGTGGTTGGGAATAAATCTCGGTGACTTGAGACAAGCTGTGTGTTCTGCACTCCGACCGGGAGCCACAAGGATCTGCAGCCTCCTCACGAGGGGCAGCTCCGATCTCTGCTCTGGTGACAGTGACGGGACCTGAAATGACCTGCAGTTGTGTCAGGGCGGGGTCAGGTTGGATCTCAGGAAAAGGTCCTTCCCCCAGAGGGTGGTTGGCACTGAACAGGCTCCCCAGGCTCTGGTCACGGCCCCAAGGCTGCCAGAGCTCCGGGAGTGTTTGGACAATGCTCTCAGGGACAGGAGGGGATTGTTGGGGTAGCAGGGCCAGGAGTTGAACTCAAAGATCCTTGGGGATCTCTTCCAACTTGGGATATTCTGTGATTCTATGATCTCTTGCAGTAATAGCTGCCAGAATCAACTCAGACTGTGTTCGTTAGGGAGGGGAGGGCTGGCCTGGTCAGAACAGCCTGGCAGAGGTGTGGATGCTGCTGCTGGATCACTGCTAATGAGACTCACCTGGCGTTTTTGCTCTTCCACGTTCCAGAGCTGACATTGCTTTGATTGGACTGGCCGTGATGGGTCAGAACCTGATTTTGAACATGAACGACCACGGCTTCGTGGTAAGTGAAGGAAATGTTGTTCAGAAAAGCTGACTCAGTAGCACTTGGGATTGGAGCTGAGCATTTTGTGGATGCTTTTTCCATCCTTGTGTTGTTTCCTCCTTTTAGTTGTAACCTGTGCTGCCCTTTGTCCCGTTTCCAGGGAAGAGCAGTGGTGCAGGCCTGTACTCAGCTGGCACCTGATATGTTAGTTATGCATGACTTTTCCTGAAGTTTGCCTTGGGCTTGGCCCTTAACCACAGCTTCCCAAGGCACTTGCAAAGACATGCTCAGGTCCATCCCTGTTCTGTGCCTGTGGGGAAGGTGGAACTGGGAGAGCACAGGATGCTGAACCTTGCTTGTATAATTTGTAGTCCGAGCTAAAGTAACTGTTCTGTTGGCAGCTTTTATTACCATGTTTCCTTGCTCCCCCAGGTGTGTGCTTTTAACAGGACAGTTTCCAAAGTGGATGACTTCCTGGCCAATGAGGCCAAAGGAACCAAAGTGATTGGAGCTCACAGCCTGGAGGAGATGGTCTCCAAGCTGAAGAAGCCCCGTCGCATTATCCTCCTGGTGAAGGCTGGAAGTGCCGTGGATGACTTCATCAAGAAACTGGTGAGGCAAACATTCCTTCTACCTGTGACTTCTTGCTGTCTTTTGGAGGAGTTTCCTCTGAATGTTCTCAATTATTCATCATTAATTAAAGGTTGAATGCGTGGAGAAAATCAAAGTGCTGATTTATTTTTGGCAGGTGCCCTTGCTGGAGACTGGGGACATCATCATTGATGGTGGGAATTCTGAGTACAGAGATACCACGGTAAGGCTGTTTCCTACCCAAAGTAAATGGATAAAATACACATGATTCTTTCTCCTCTGATCATCAGAATAGTCAGTTGAAAGGATGCCATCACCCTCCTGCTCAGGAAAAGCCAAACTGAATTATTTCTGCAAAATTAGATCATGCAGCCTGTTGAAAAGTGATTGTTGCAGTAGCTAAGGACTGCTCTAAAAGAATATTTTGTAGAAGTCGCCCAAATCATCGAGTGTTTTTATTGACATCTTTTAAAGAGTGAAGGCCTTTAGAAAATTTCCTGTTAAAATCTTAAGGAGGTTTCAGGGAGATTTATAAGCCTAAGGGTCTTTGTGGATTTGTTGTTACTTTTCAGTCCTACATGATCACAGGACAATCCAGGCAGACAGAACTGCTGGTTTGGCTGTCTTGGTTAGTGGGAGCAGCAGAGTAATTATCTGCTTGTGATCAGGCTGTAGCTCTAGAAGTTATAGAAGCTACGTTAGCATATCTGGGATGCTCACAGGAAAATCCTGCATTCAGACTGGTATTTCTAAATCTTTATAAGGGGTGCTGGTGTTCATCTTTCTGCTTTGACATCCTGATCTTGGATAAGTGAGTTGGCCATGCCAGAACAAAAAACAGGTACTCAGTGAGGACTAATCCTTGGGGAGCTTGCAGCTCTCCTTAGGGGTCTCAGCCTGTGCCTCTCTCCCACTCAGAGGGAATTATTTGCCCTTATGTTGTCCATGCTTCCCCCTGCACTCTGCAGTGAGCTCTGCAATTCCCCCTTGGGCCTAATCTGCCTCCCCCACATCTTTGCACACAGCATGTGTCACCTGACACTTAATTCTGAGCCTTCTCCAGCCTCAGTGCTGCTCTTTTCTGTCTGGTGCTTAAGGACTTGTTTTCTCAGGGAGTCCCTTTTGCAAGATCCACGTCAAAGCCACAGGAAGTTTTCTAAGGCTCACTTTGGTGTGTGTACAGGCTTTCTCTAAGGCTGGCTGCTAACCTGTCCAAAGCAGAATTGAAAACCTAATTTTAGGTCTGAATTGGTAACCTTTGTTTGCAAGGCTCTGGTGTTAAACAAAATCAAATAATGCTGCTCTGCTCTTTGTTCCAGAGACGCTGTAAGGAGCTCCAGGCAAAGGGCATCTTATTTGTGGGAAGTGGTGTCAGTGGTGGGGAGGAGGGTGCCAGATATGGACCTTCACTCATGCCAGGAGGAGCCAAAGAAGCCTGGTAAGCGTGAGCTACTATGTTTCTTCTTCAGAATGGTGTGCAATAATCATCTATTCACAATGAGAGCCGAGGGAGGGCAGGAGCAGGGTGTGGGTGTGGAGGGAACAAGATATGTTACCATCTCACTTCCTCAAGGCTCAAGATTTCTCAACCTAGCTGGGGTCATGGGGCAATGCTGAGCCTTCATGGCAGGCAGAACAGAGGCAGGTTTTTCTTCCAGGACTCCACAGGACCTACAGAAATCTGAAGGGAGGAAGGAATTTTGCTTAAATGTTAAACAAGTACTA